CGAGAGTTTCTTCGAAATTGCAAGTAAACTCCATGTGTATTCTATTGCTGATTTCTTAATACATATGGTCAAAGTCCACGTCTGTTGAAAAATCAACGTCTCTCTCGTCTAGTTTTCCTATAAAAATCAACACAACCTCTCCCCTTGCATTGTCTCAAAACCCATCAATCCCCCCCAACTTTCTTTTCTCCTCTGTAACCCTTCATTGTTCAAATTACGGACTCAACAAAAGAGACACCACCATTAAACCCAAAAACCATGTCGTCCACAGAATCAAGTTTAGCCACAGCGAAGACAGTTGTCACCACCTTAGGTTCCATTGCCGCAACGGCCATGGTGGTCCGTACATTTGCCAGAGACTACGCCCCTGAAGAACTCCAAGACTATCTCTCTCTTGGACTAAGAAACCTTTTCAACAGATTCTCAAACCAGTTAACAATGGTGATAGACGAGTTCGATGGCCTTGTCAACAATGAAATTTATGAAGCTGCCGAGACCTATTTGGGCCCCAAGATCACCCCCAACACTCGTCGCCTCAAAATCAGCAAACCCGAAAAGGAGAAGAACATTAACATCACCATGGAACGCAATGAAGAGGTCACAGATGTCTATGAAGGAACTAAATTCAAGTGGGTTTGGGTTTGCAAACAAATGGAGACAAGAAATCCAAGACACTTCTATAATCCTCGTGACTTAAATTCAACTCTGAGACATGAAATCCGATCGTTCGAGCTAATGTTTCACAGAAAACACAAAGATATAGTGGTCAATTTTTACCTGCCTTACATTATGGAAGAAGCAAAGAAGAAGCAACAAGAACAGAGGACTCTGAAGATTTTCACGGCCGATTATGAGGACATGTACGATTTGTCCAATATATGGACATCGGTGAATTTGGACCACCCATCGACGTTTGAGACTTTGGCAATGGATTTAAAGCAGAAAGAGATGGTGTTGAAGGATCTTGAGAGGTTTGTGAAGAGAAAAGAGTATTATAGGAAGGTGGGCAAGGCTTGGAAGAGAGGGTACTTGTTGTATGGGCCTCCTGGAACTGGGAAATCGAGCTTTATCGCAGCCATGGCCAATTTCTTGAATTTTGATGTGTATGATTTGGAATTGACTGAGTTGAAGCGTAACTCGGATTTGAGGAAGTTGCTGTTGGCGACGGCGAATCGGTCGATATTGGTGGTGGAAGACATTGACTGTACCATTGAGTTCCAAGATCGAGCGGCGAAGAAGAAGAAGAAGAAGAAGAAATCAGAATCCGAGGATGAGGAAGAAAGCAAGGTTAGTAGTTCAGTTCTATTTTTTTGGACTTTATTTTCTTTGTGATCGTGATTGTGAGTGTGTTCATACTTTGTTATCTGTTCTCCTATTATTATTATTATTATTTTATTTTTTATTTTTTTTTTGGGTGATTAGCTCAGCACTTTAATCAATTTTTTTTTTCAGTCCGATCAAAAACTGGCCAAACTAAAATATTTATAAAAGATAAATTATTCGTAACTTAATCTCAAGGATATTTATAAAAGATAAATTATTGNTTTAAGTGTTTACATATATACAAATTTTAGATACCATATTTTTATTTTGAGTAAAAAATTATTTTAATCTCTAAAGTATGTATATAGTATTTATTTGACTCTCAATCTTTCAGTTGTGTCTATTTGGTCGTTAATGTTTCTAATTTGTGTTTATTTGGTTCAATCTCAAACGTCCGTCAAAAAATCGTTAACACCTCTGGTCACGCGCCAATCACGTGGGACCAAATCAACATAAATTAAGAACTTTAGAAATTAAATATATATAAATTAATAATTTTAGGGATCAAACAAACATAAAATTATAAACTATGTGATTGATACGTTTTCAAAATCGTCATGATTTTTTAACACGTTTGGGATTGGTTTATGTACACACAAATTAGGAACTTTAAGAACCAGACACAATTGAAATATTATGGGTCAAATAAAGAGTACACGCATACGCTAGGAATTAAAAGTATATTTTATCCTTTTATTTTTTATCTATTAAAATGTCCACTTTTAAAGTTTTTAATTTTATTGTTTGTTATTTTTTCATTTAGTAAAGAAAATCACTCAAAAGAAGGTCAATTCTTCAATTCAAATTTCAACACTGGAATTGCCCCCATTTTTTTTTTTTTTGTTCAACGGTTAGGTATTCGGGTCAACTTATGTGTACCTCGATTAATTTTTTCTCCGGTTCGATCAAAGATAGGTCATCCACACCGAAACTATGTTATTCATGATGAATAATTCACTCTATTGTTCTGGACAAATATATTTTCATATATCTATATAATAAAGTAAAATATAATTAAAATCTCAAAAGATAAACAAAATGATTTTTGTTTTTCACGATTGAGATTTCTTTAAATTTTATTTTAAACTTAATCCGATAGCTAATATCAACTCTCAAAATTTAATAGAAAAAATAAGTCTCTAAAAGTATGTTTGAGATAATTTGTTAAAAATACTTTTACGACTTTTAATTTCTCATAAGTATTTTTTTTTAAAAAAATAGTGTTTATAACCGCCTCACCACTACAACCATCGCGGCCCCACCACCGTGTCACCACTACCACTTCTACTACCACTAACACCACCACCACCCACCCACCACCTCACCACTAATACCACCCCCATCACACCACCACCATTACACCCCATCACCAGTATCGCCACTGTCACCCACTATCGCCCCACCACCACCTTCCCCAGTACCCCTACTCCCACCCACCACCTTGCCGTCACTGTTCTACCATTACCTCTACCGCCCCACCATATCCATCGTACCCACCCCACCACAGCCACTATTGTCTATCACTATTACCATTATCACTACTTACTCTCACTATAATTATTATTTAAATTCATTTTTCTCATTTTTATATATTTTATTTGATTTTAAGTGTAAATACAAATATATTTATTGTTGATTTTTTTTTATTATTTTATGTCTTCAGGTACATGCAATAATTAGTGTTTTGATAAATTATCTAACTAAACATTTCTCATATTTGGATTAAAATTCTAAACTCTTACTTACATAAACGTAAATAATTACATCACTGAATCCCCTCAATATGTCCAAAAATCGTCCTAAGCTCTTTGCGCTCTCTCTCTCTCTAGCGCGTGTTGAAAAAAAACATGATTTATTACATTATAAAAACTAGTTGAAAACAATTGTAACAGTATTGAATAGAATTGTTATTAGTCACTGTATAAAGTTTTATATTCATGATTAGTTAAATGTTTTTATCCTATTGTTGTTAAAATTTGTCCCCGACACTATAAACTTCTGGGGTCATCCAATGGTGCTTAGTGGTTGCCCATGTGCCACCGCTCTGTCTTCCTGAAGAAGCTTGCTTTAACAACGTAGACCAAGACTATGGGTGAAGTCTACCTGTTGTTACAGGCTCTGATAAGTCCTCCCTCAGCTCCCTCAAAAGGCTTTTTAGTAGGGATTCATTATACATATCTTTTCAAATACATTTTCTTTTTAGTTTCTTTTTTGATAAATTATTTATCATTAATAAATAAAGGGCCCACTTATTTATAATATGTTTCACTTAAATGCACGATAGAATATTTGTCAAGAAGAGAATTGAAAAGATAATGTATTAGAGAGAATATCGCTCTTTTCATTCATGCTTTATTTAGGACGTATGCACGAGCATTTTGATATTGCAAGGGTGGTTTATTTCTCATTTATGAACAATAAAGAATAGGGAAACAAGGATTTTTAATGCATAACAAGGGTTGGAGAGCACGCTTAGTACAAGGATTTTACTTGGGTTTCCTATTTTGAGAACTATTGTTTCTAGGGAAGAATTTATTTTGGAGAAATTCTTGGTAGAAAGAGAAAGTAAGAGTCACGTTACGTGTATTAAAAATGTGGATCAAAACTTGCACTAAATCACTTGTTGTCGTTGAATTAGTGAGTCCTATTACTAATTCAATAACTGCAATTAATTTGGTACACAAAGAATTACATTGGAGGTAATTCCTTGGTCATCGAGAGCTTTGAATTTGGAAAGTTAAGGGTTTCTTAGCTTTTATATTACGATTAAGTTACACTTTAACCACCTTAATTATGACTTTTTTTTCACATTGCCCTTTAACATTGCTCACTTTACACTTTTAATTATATTATTAATTGCAATTTGCCCACTAGTTAATGCCCATTGTAGATTTGACAAAAAATTATTTTATTTTAATCCCCAAATTATGTGTTTTGTTTTACTTTAACCCTGTCACGTTGACAATATTTGTCAAAAAGATAATGACATTTGTATTTGGGGTAGTGTATGTAAACTCAACTCAAGTAGTTGAGTGGAGTGGGGCAGTGTGAACAATTCTATAGCTAACAAAGTAAAATTGAGTCCATAATTAAGAGAATTAAAGTGTAATTATTCTTTATACTGTCGGATTCTCCCTTCCTTGTCCAATAAGCCTGTATATTTGGAACTCTATAAAAACATGCAACGGACTGTGCAATCAACATGAATTATATCCCTCATCCCACAAGAGTTGAGGAAGAGAGAGAGAGAGAGAGAGAGAAATCTTTCATGTGTGAAAAGCTTGTGAGCAGTGGAAGAGCATTGTATCTAATTAGAGGAGAGGTCTGTTTCTTGTGGTTCTTGTGTATTCCTTTTGGGGTTTTGGGGTATCGGGGTTTGGGTACCGTCGCTCTTCTTCTGTTGAGAGAGTATCAATACTCGAGAGTTTCTTCGAAATTGCAAGTAAACTCCATGTGTATTCTATTGCTGATTTCTTAATACATATGGTCAAAGTCCACGTCTGTTGAAAAATCAACGTCTCTCTCGTCTAGTTTTCCTATAAAAATCAACACAACCTCTCCCCTTGCATTGTCTCAAAACCCATCAATCCCCCCCAACTTTCTTTTCTCCTCTGTAACCCTTCATTGTTCAAATTACGGACTCAACAAAAGAGACACCACCATTAAACCCAAAAACCATGTCGTCCACAGAATCAAGTTTAGCCACAGCGAAGACAGTTGTCACCACCTTAGGTTCCATTGCCGCAACGGCCATGGTGGTCCGTACATTTGCCAGAGACTACGCCCCTGAAGAACTCCAAGACTATCTCTCTCTTGGACTAAGAAACCTTTTCAACAGATTCTCAAACCAGTTAACAATGGTGATAGACGAGTTCGATGGCCTTGTCAACAATGAAATTTATGAAGCTGCCGAGACCTATTTGGGCCCCAAGATCACCCCCAACACTCGTCGCCTCAAAATCAGCAAACCCGAAAAGGAGAAGAACATTAACATCACCATGGAACGCAATGAAGAGGTCACAGATGTCTATGAAGGAACTAAATTCAAGTGGGTTTGGGTTTGCAAACAAATGGAGACAAGAAATCCAAGACACTTCTATAATCCTCGTGACTTAAATTCAACTCTGAGACATGAAATCCGATCGTTCGAGCTAATGTTTCACAGAAAACACAAAGATATAGTGGTCAATTTTTACCTGCCTTACATTATGGAAGAAGCAAAGAAGAAGCAACAAGAACAGAGGACTCTGAAGATTTTCACGGCCGATTATGAGGACATGTACGATTTGTCCAATATATGGACATCGGTGAATTTGGACCACCCATCGACGTTTGAGACTTTGGCAATGGATTTAAAGCAGAAAGAGATGGTGTTGAAGGATCTTGAGAGGTTTGTGAAGAGAAAAGAGTATTATAGGAAGGTGGGCAAGGCTTGGAAGAGAGGGTACTTGTTGTATGGGCCTCCTGGAACTGGGAAATCGAGCTTTATCGCAGCCATGGCCAATTTCTTGAATTTTGATGTGTATGATTTGGAATTGACTGAGTTGAAGCGTAACTCGGATTTGAGGAAGTTGCTGTTGGCGACGGCGAATCGGTCGATATTGGTGGTGGAAGACATTGACTGTACCATTGAGTTCCAAGATCGAGCGGCGAAGAAGAAGAAGAAGAAGAAGAAATCAGAATCCGAGGATGAGGAAGAAAGCAAGGTTAGTAGTTCAGTTCTATTTTTTTGGACTTTATTTTCTTTGTGATCGTGATTGTGAGTGTGTTCATACTTTGTTATCTGTTCTCCTATTATTATTATTATTATTTTATTTTTTATTTTTTTTTTGGGTGATTAGCTCAGCACTTTAATCAATTTTTTTTTTCAGTCCGATCAAAAACTGGCCAAACTAAAATATTTATAAAAGATAAATTATTCGTAACTTAATCTCAAGGATATTTATAAAAGATAAATTATTGGTAGCTTAATCTCAAGGATTGTCAAGATTCAATTTCAATCTTAATTAATATTGAGGTCTTTTGTCAATTCAATAATAATAATTGATTAGATTAACAAATTAAATTCAATAAATTAATTTTTATTTGCGTAAATTAGTGTTATGTATAGTTAGGCCTTACAATTGTATTGAATGGAACGATTTCGTGTCGAGTGGAACTACTTCGTGTTAAAAAATCCTCCATTCTTATCCTATTTGTTTATATAAAAGAGTCCAACTATCACACTCGTACACGATTTATTTATTAGACAGGTTACTCGACACAACTCGTATGTCACCCGTTAAATATGAGAAGCAATTAGAGTATTTCAAGTCCACATGAAAAATCATTAACTTGTCAAACATTACACATGTTTGACCTGTTTATTATAACAATAAATCATAATTAAACAAAAAAATAAAGACAAAAAATAAACATTAAATTACTACTAAATTTGAACGAGTTTGAGAGATGGGAGGCATGAGATGCGNTTCTTCAATTCAAATTTCAACACTGGAATTGCCCCCATTGTTTTTTTTTTTGTTCAACGGTTAGGTATTCGGGTCAACTTATGTGTACCTCGATTAATTTTTTCTCCGGTTCGATCAAAGATAGGTCATCCACACCGAAACTATGTNTATGGATTAAACACGAAATCAGTTCATTTATTTTATAGGTCTATCGAGTTAACTCGTTAACCACCCGAATCCATTAAAATTATACTCAAATCCGCTAAATCAGTGTGTTATGTATTTATTTCACCGACTCCTGTCTAGAATTGTGAGGCTCAGGTATCACCTTCCTTGCNAATAAAGTAAAATATAATTAAAATCTCAAAAGATAAACAAAATGATTTTTGTTTTTCACGATTGAGATTTCTTTAAATTTTATTTTAAACTTAATCCGATAGCTAATATCAACTCTCAAAATTTAATAGAAAAAATAAGTCTCTAAAAGTATGTTTGAGATAATTTGTTAAAAATACTTTTACGACTTTTAATTTCTCATAAGTATTTTTTTTTAAAAAAATAGTGTTTATAACCGCCTCACCACTACAACCATCGCGGCCCCACCACCGTGTCACCACTACCACTTCTACTACCACTAACACCACCACCACCCACCCACCACCTCACCACTAATACCACCCCCATCACACCACCACCATTACACCCCATCACCAGTATCGCCACTGTCACCCACTATCGCCCCACCACCACCTTCCCCAGTACCCCTACTCCCACCCACCACCTTGTCGTCACTGTTCTACCATTACCTCTACCGCCCCACCATATCCATCGTCCCCACCCCACCACAGCCACTATTGTCCATCACTATTACCATTACCACTACTTACTCTCACTATAATTATTATTTAAATTTATTTTTCTTATTTTTATATTTTTTATTTGATTTTAAGTGTAAATACAAATATATTTATTGTTGATTTTTTTTATTATTTTATGTCTTCAGGTACATGCAATAATTAGTGTTTTGATAAATTATCTAACTAAACATTTCTCATATTTGGATTAAAATTCTAAACTCTTACTTACATAAACGTAAATAATTACATCACTGAATCCCCTCAATATGTCCAAAAATCGTCCTAAGCTCTTTGCGCTCTCTCTCTCTCTAGCGCGTGTTGAAAAAAAACATGATTTATTACATTATAAAAACTAGTTGAAAACAATTGTAACAGTATTGAATAGAATTGTTATTAGTCACTGTATAAAGTTTTATATTCATGATTAGTTAAATGTTTTTATCCTATTGTTGTTAAAATTTGTCCCCGACACTATAAACTTCTGGGGTCATCCAATGGTGCTTAGTGGTTGCCCATGTGCCACCGCTCTGTCTTCCTGAAGAAGCTTGCTTTAACAACGTAGACCAAGACTATGGGTGAAGTCTACCTGTTGTTACAGGCTCTGATAAGTCCTCCCTCAGCTCCCTCAAAAGGCTTTTTAGTAGGGATTCATTATACATATCTTTTCAAATACATTTTCTTTTTAGTTTCTTTTTTGATAAATTATTTATCATTAATAAATAAAGGGCCCACTTATTTATAATATGTTTCACTTAAATGCACGATAGAATATTTGTCAAGAAGAGAATTGAAAAGATAATGTATTAGAGAGAATATCGCTCTTTTCATTCATGCTTTATTTAGGACGTATGCACGAGCATTTTGATATTGCAAGGGTGGTTTATTTCTCATTTATGAACAATAAAGAATAGGGAAACAAGGATTTTTAATGCATAACAAGGGTTGGAGAGCACGCTTAGTACAAGGATTTTACTTGGGTTTCCTATTTTGAGAACTATTGTTTCTAGGGAAGAATTTATTTTGGAGAAATTCTTGGTAGAAAGAGAAAGTAAGAGTCACGTTACGTGTATTAAAAATGTGGATCAAAACTTGCACTAAATCACTTGTTGTCGTTGAATTAGTGAGTCCTATTACTAATTCAATAACTGCAATTAATTTGGTACACAAAGAATTACATTGGAGGTAATTCCTTGGTCATCGAGAGCTTTGAATTTGGAAAGTTAAGGGTTTCTTAGCTTTTATATTACGATTAAGTTACACTTTAACCACCTTAATTATGACTTTTTTTTCACATTGCCCTTTAACATTGCTCACTTTACACTTTTAATTATATTATTAATTGCAATTTGCCCACTAGTTAATGCCCATTGTAGATTTGACAAAAAATTATTTTATTTTAATCCCCAAATTATGTGTTTTGTTTTACTTTAACCCTGTCACGTTGACAATATTTGTCAAAAAGATAATGACATTTGTATTTGGGGTAGTGTATGTAAACTCAACTCAAGTAGTTGAGTGGAGTGGGGCAGTGTGAACAATTCTATAGCTAACAAAGTAAAATTGAGTCCATAATTAAGAGAATTAAAGTGTAATTATTCTTTATACTGTCGGATTCTCCCTTCCTTGTCCAATAAGCCTGTATATTTGGAACTCTATAAAAACATGCAACGGACTGTGCAATCAACATGAATTATATCCCTCATCCCACAAGAGTTGAGGAAGAGAGAGAGAGAGAGAGAGAGANATAGGAGTCTTGTTAAGTAATAATTTCTATGATGTCTACGAAAGAGGTGTCAAGCAGCTTGAGATGGGCTTTCATTGGTCATGGTTACCTTTTGTATTCAATTCATTGTATTTGCTTTCTTCCTTATGATAATGTTACTTAGACTTCAAAATATTAAAATTCACTATCTTTTCAATAATTATGATAAGTTAATAATACATATTAACATTTTAAGTTTAAATAATACTTTTCATCTTGTTATTGACAAAAATTTCATACACTAAAGTACGAGGACTCGTTCTTAGTTTTGAATGACTCTCGTTCTTAGTTTTGAATGACTCTTGTGACGAGTAAATGACCTGCCCATTGGCAATTGGGATGGGCAGGCGNATCCCAGATAAATATTTTCCTCTCTCCCATTATAATCTAATTTAATGATTATGTAAAAAATATAATTTTAAAAAGCATACATGTTAGGAAACTAAAAATGTGTTGTTTGTCATATGACCCAGCACCTCAGCTGGCCATCGAATTGGTTGGTTGATGGTACGACTGTCGACGAGCCGTATTGTATGATATTTTTCGCTCATAATACTATATTAAATTTTATTCAATTCATAATTGTGTATAATTAATTATTTATAATTGTGTATAATAATTATTTGTCGTGTATAAACGTTATTTGGTCATATTCATATCAACACAATCTAAATGAATTTTACGGGTCAATACATTTATGACATAAAATTATTATGTATAGTCAATTTTCTGTTAGTTTCCTATCAAATTGATAGACCGTGTTAACAATTATGAACATTAATCGAGAATTTGCTATTGTTTAAGATGGTCAGATGGAAAAATAGCTTTCTTGGAAAGAATTAAAAAAAAAAACCTTACTTTGTCCACACATACCACCCCAAGCTGACAAGATTGACAATATGTTTCAAAGGACTACATCAACCTAAATTAAATATTAGCTTTTTTAAAGATGGTCTAAAAGTTTTGTTATATAGAATCAGACAACAAACCAAACTTTGCTTTGTCCACATTAATCGCCACAAGATGCTTGTTAAAAAAAAAAAAAAAATACTATTTGTATGGGTCCTTTGATTCTCTCCAATGCAACATGTATAGGGCATCAAGAATACTATTTATATTTAATTTAACGATTTATTTTGAGAATTTGATGTTGTGATCATTGAATTGATGACAACTTTCATTCGATAATGAAACCTTGTGTTAATTCATTAGTCAAAGTACGTTAAATCTTCAAATTAAGTTTTAATAGTATTTGTTCATCGGTATTGCTCAATCTTCACCATAATAATAAGTTTTAGAGGCATGGTAAACTTGCTTCGGAACAATGTGTACAATTTTGGCTCTTTTTATGCAGACTACCAGCATTTGATTTAAAAATGGATTATTCATCGTTTCACATTTGTTTTTGCCATAGGTGACACTGTCCGGTTTCCTCAATTTTATTGATGGTCTATGGTCTAGTTGTGGCGATGAACGGATTATAATTTTCACAACAAATCATAAAGAGAAGCTCGACCCCGCGTTGCTACGCCCCGGTCGAATGGATGTGCACATCCACATGTCTTATTGCTCCCCCTCTGGGTTCAAAGTTCTAGCTGACAATTATCTTGGTATCAAAGACCATGAGCTTTTCGGAGAGATTGAGGAATTGATTCAAACGGCGGAGGTGACACCGGCAGAGGTAGCCGAGCAGCTATTGAAAGACGACGATTACGAGCATGATGCTGCACTCAGTGGCCTTATAAATTTCCTCCATGTGAAGGAGAAGGAAAATGAAGAAGCCAAGGCCAAGAAAGCAGAACAAGAATCAACCAAGGAGGAGAGTGAACAAGAAGATGAGAGTGATAAGGAAGAGAAAGAAGAGAAACAAACCAGGATAATTAAAGTGTGAGCTGGTAAAGTAAATTGAGACGATAGGAGTCTTGTTAAGTAATAATTTCTATGATGTCTACGAAAGAGGTGTCAAGCAGCTTGAGATGGGCTTTCATTGGTCATGGTTACCTTTTGTATTCAATTCATTGTATTTGCTTTCTTCCTTATGATAATGTTACTTAGACTTCAAAATATTAAAATTCACTATCTTTTCAATAATTATGATAAGTTAATAAAACATATTAACATTTTAAGTTTAAATAATACTTTTCATCTTGTTATTGACAAAAATTTCATACACTGAAGTACGAGGACTCGTTCTTAGTTTTGAATGACTCTCGTTCTTAGTTTTGAATGACCCTTGTGACGAGTAAATGACCTGCCCATTGGCAATTGGGATGGGCAGGCGTTGGGCTTTAGGAATGTCAAAGTTAGAGCATGCCCTCAAATTTTGGGTTGGGAGATGGAATGTTGTCACGCCCATTCCCAATTCCATCAAGTTAGGCCTTCATGGAGAGGTCTCAGCCCTGTGCCCTCAATTTTGGATTGGGAGATGGAATGTGATCAGNTATGGTCTAGTTGTGGCGATGAACGGATTATAATTTTCACAACAAATCATAAAGAGAAGCTCGACCCCGCGTTGCTACGCCCCGGTCGAATGGATGTGCACATCCACATGTCTTATTGCTCCCCCTCTGGGTTCAAAGTTCTAGCTGACAATTATCTTGGTATCAAAGACCATGAGCTTTTCGGAGAGATTGAAGAATTGATTCAAACGGCGGAGGTGACACCGGCAGAGGTAGCCGAGCAGCTATTGAAAGACGATGATTACGAGCATGATGCTGCACTCAGTGGCCTTATAAATTTCCTCCATGTGAAGAAGAAGGAAAATGAAGAAGCCAAGGCCAAGAAAGCAGAACAAGAATCAATCAAGGAGGAGAGTGAACAAGAAGATGAGAGTGATAAGGAAGAGAAAGAAGAGAAACAAACCAGGATAATTAAAGTGTGAGCTGGTAAAGTAAATTGAGACGATAGGAGTTTTGTTAAGTAATAATTTCTATGATGTCTACGAAAGAGGTGTCAAGCAGCTTGAGATGGGCTTTCATTGGTCATGGTTACCTTTTGTATTCAATTCATTGTATTTGCTTTCTTCCTTATGATAATGTTACTTAGACTTCAAAATATTAAAATTCACTATCTTTTCAATAATTATGATAAGTTAATAAAACATATTAACATTTTAAGTTTAAATAATACTTTTCATCTTGTTATTGACAAAAATTTCATACACTAAAGTACGAGGACTCGTTCTTAGTTTTGAATGACTCTCGTTCTTAGTTTTGAATGACCCTTGTGACGAGTAAATGACCTGCCCATTGGCAATTGGGATGGGGCAGGCTTTGGGCTTTAGGAATGTCAAAGTTAGAGCATGCCCTCAAATTTTGGGTTGGGAGATGGAATGTTGTCACGCCCATTCCCAATTCCAACAAGTTAGGCCTTCATGGAGAGGTCTCAGCCCATGCCCAAATTCCAAGCCGAATATCTATATAATAAATTAGGTATGTGTTTGAATTTATGAGGATATATTTTTCTCCCAAATTTCACACATTCAACGCATATTTTCCACTCTAAATTTTAAAAACACAACACACACAGTTGCACATACATACACACACATATTCTAATGTATGTACAGTGTCATAATTCAATGTATAGTAACTTTAGTCACGGGTTATTGCTAGTAAAAAAATATAAGGGAAATTAGAAGGGGGTACACTAAATTAGAATTAATTATAAAAAAAGTAAACAGAAAAAAATGTAGAGTAAATAAGTCTTTAATTTTTATACTTATTTGTGTCCAAGTACATTATTTAAAAATTTCAAATTTTCTTGTAACCTTTATGTCCACGTGATCCATGCATATATTTTTTTTGAAAAAGTACTTAGTTTTTTTTTTTTCAAATTACATTTATGCATTAAATATCTCCTAATTTTATTGGATTACTTTAACATTCCGTTTATTTATACATTAAACATCTCCTAGTTTTAGGGTGTATCATTTTGTTTGAATTTTAAATTTGAGTTAATTGTAAAAAAGTAAACATAAATAAATATAGAGGAAAAAAGTCCTCAATTTTAGTTATTATTTATGTCTAAGTACATAATTTGTAATTTTTAGATTTTTCTTTGACACTTGTACTCCCTTAATTCATGCGATTAATTTTTGGAAACTGATTTTTTTTCCAGATTACATGTATGCATTAAAAATTTTCTAATTTAATGGAAGATTTGATCCTTCCGTTTTTTTTTTTGAGGATAAATGTATGCATTAAAAATCTTCTAATTTAATTGAAGATTTGATCCTTTCGTTTTTTTAGGATAAATGTATGCATTAAAAATCTTATAATTTAATGGAAGATTTGATTCTTTTATTTTTTTGTTTATTGTGAGGATAAATCAGTTTGTTTGAATTTTAAATTTTACAACAGTATCTTTTGTTATTTTAAAAGTGATTATTATGTTTTTTAATATGCGAACACTATATCAGTGTAATAATAACAATGTAACAAGACACTTACACAAAATATTGTACTATTATATTTTGTCAAACATAAATTTGTATATAATTCCAATCAAACAGTCTATCTCTATTTTGAATTTGTTACAATATCCACAAAATCACTGAACACTGTCTTTGTCACAGGGTATTGTTACACTGTGAGGAAAACGCAATCAAAAGTTAGGAAATACGCACAATTTATTCACACAATGAATTAATATAACAAAAATCCTATAGATATTCAGAGAACAAGAATTTTCTGCAAAAAAAAAACACAAAAATCAAAATAAATGTAATAATATTTTGATTTTAGATAACTCATGATGTCAATACAAAAAAAAAAAAAAAAGAAGGTACATGGAATGAGTCAACGATCCAAATGCAGTCACAAGCAAAGAGAAGAGAAACCCTCAAGAAATGTGCATGCTCTGCTGCTGAATCAACATGGAAGGTTCGACCTGGGTTGAAGTTGTCTCACCTTTCATATAGAACCATTTCATGGAGGTTGCCAATGTCAAAGCTAAAATGGATTCAAAAAAGCTACAGTTTTTGCATTGAACTTGAGACCCAAAATGAATCCACCCCTTTTTTATCATGCCTTTGGAAACCTATGGAGCTTTGCTCTTGCAGTTTCAAAGTCAGTGGAAAACAAAGATTATCATGATATGGTTTTCAAGCTCAAGAACGCGATAAAAAAGATCAAAGGAGACTATGTGAAGAAACTCTAATCACGAAAAGACCTCTCACCAATCTTGAGTTTGTGCCGATGAAACCCCAGATCCACTATCAAATCAATGTACAGATCACAATCAACACCCTACTCTTAAAGTTTTTAATGGAAGATAAAGAGTCGTGAAGTTTTCTCAGAAGAAGATGAACTGGTTTTGTAATGAAGAATAAGTATAACCATACTCGAAGATGTAGAGATTTTGAAATAAATGTACATAAATTTCAGCGATTAAGATAAATGCATTTTCATAGTTTTTAGGAAAGATAATTTTACAAAATATGCATTTATGTCTTTGTATCTCAGTAGTGTATTTTTTTATAATTATGTCTAATTTAGTGTACCAATTTTCAAAAGACCCAAAAATATATCTTGTTCTACATCTCTCTTACCAAGACACGAAAGAGAAAAAAAAAGTTTCTTTCGAACCCAAATCTAGTGTTTTAAAACTTGGTTCGGTCCGATAATTTAACTCGGTGAATTGGAGGTTAAATTAGGCCAATTACTATATTATATCGTTTAAGTACAAAAACTATTTATAACCCGTTGAATCGGACGATTTTTTTCTTCAGCATTTAAATCGGATGGGTCATGTAAAGCACTATAAAAACCAAGGGCCTGTTTGGTTTACGTTTCAAAAAATAGTATTCGAAAATAGTTTTTGAGAAAAATTTTAAGAAAGTGATTTTAATATTTTTAGAGATAAAAAACTTATTTGGTTAGATGATTTCAAAAACAATTTTAAAATACAGAAAATAGTATGTGTGTATATATATTGTTCTCATTGTTTCCAAAATTTTCAAAGAAAACTTTGAAAACAAGCTACGCTTGTTTTTTGTTTCTTTGATTCAAATGTCATTTTTTTTTCAAAATTTAAAGAACAAAAATACTAAATAAACAAGTTTTGGATCTTTTTAAAAATTTTAAAAACAAAAAATTGACTCTGAAATGATAACCAAACATAGCCCAAGTTTTTGGGCAAGGAATCCCTAATCGGATTTGCCTCTTCGGCGCAAGGCCTGAAACATTATTAGATCATGGGCTTTCCACGTAAATGGGCTTCGCTAGCTTGAAATCCGAAATTCTCTTTTAAGTTAGCGGGGGAGGGAAAGAAACGACACTTCATAGTCCAAATTCTAAAAGGGCAAAAACAGAACAGTGGTTAGTTCGAATCGATCATTTGTCCTATTCGATCTCTGGATCTTCAAAATCTCGCCGTTAAAACATCAATTGCTATATCGCCGGGTTAAATTTCACCATTTTTTTTTTGAGGCATTTCACTCAGCGACGTAGTGCAAAGAGCTAGGGTTCTTCCAAATCGAGATCTCGAGGTAAGGGCTACACAATTCTCCTAGTTTTCTTCAAAATTATACACCGGAGGATTCATGTTACAGATATGTGTTGTTCTTTAATGATGAGCATTATTCGTGTACTTGTGATTTTCATTTAATATACGGTTCTATCTGATGTTATTTTAGGTTCTTTAGCATTTCCGAGAACAATAATTAAGTTTGTTATTCTCGTCTTATTTAATACACCAATCTCTCAGAGTGATATACCAAGAGATGGATCCGAATTCAGTTAAATCGACTCTGTCCAACTTAGCATTTGGAAATGTTATGGCAGCTGCAGCTCGTGATTATCAGAAGGTGTGTTCTTTATTGTATACTCTCTCGTTTGCTTTATTATTATTATTATTTTTTTTTTGCGTATTATTGTTTTGTTGGTTCACTATCACGGACCCTATATTAGATACATTTACTGATTCATTATTATTATATTGTCATCATAATTCGCTTTGTTGTGCTGAATATTGAATCTTCCCAAAGTTCTCTATAGGTTTGAGATTCTTGTATAACAGACTGTTACAGGTTTGTCTCGTTAAAGACATGAAACGGAAAGAATGCAATCAGAATCAGCATATGAGGATTATGAAATGTTTAGTGAAATTTTTTGAAGCTTACAAACTGTTTGTTTTTCAGCCTCTACCTATCTATATTTCTCTTACTTTGATTCCTCCTCCAGGTGTGATACCTTTTTAACTTGTCTCTTAAATCTCAATCAACCTAGTTATGCATTCCTAGACCTGGAATTTTTATTGTGTGTCTCGCAAGTACTTGTTTTTTGATTGGTGTGATCTACCGCTGTGATTGCGTCCTCTTTGGATAAGCAATGTCTTTTGGTTTTTAGGATAGATTTCCCATTAGGAATAAAGCTGTTAAATCTTGTAAGAGTTCTTAGTGAATTCTATTGTAATACCCATAAGCAACCGCCACATGGTCAGTATGACACTCAATCAGTGCGGATTTGTGACCTCAAAAGATAATATAATGAACAGGGTAGTGGTGAATGATGAGCTGATTGCTGTGGGAAAATTTTGTTTGTAAGTTAGAAAGGTCATATGACTTAGCAATAACTAAACAATGATGTAATTTTAGTTAGTGGCTGGCAGTATATTATTTCACTGGAATGTTTTAGTATCTCATGAGTCCATTAACTGATCTTGCAGGAAATTCTGGCTCATGAGAAGGGACAGACTTCTACCTCTGTTAATGAGGAGGTTGATCTTGATGAGCTGATGGATGTAAGTTGGTGACAATTGAATTTTTCATGCTTATTGAATCCTGTATGTGCATCTAGTTATGTCTATCCATAGTAGTTTAATTGCGTTGGTTGATATTAGGATCCTGAGCTGGAAAAAATGCATGCAGACAGGATTGCAGCCCTCAAGGTTTGTAGTTTGGTCTTATCAACTGCCCTCTCATGTAATTTTATAAATTTGGTGTAAGCTTTCTGATGGTTGAAATGTTGCTATACATGGATATGTTTGAATAGAAAGAAGTTGAGAAGAGAGAATCATTAAAGAAGCAAGGGCATGGAGAGTACAGGGAAATAACTGAAGGAGATTTTTTGAGTGAAGTCACTGGTAGTGAAAAAGTGATATGTCACTTCTACCATCGTGAGTTCTATCGCTGCAAGTAAGTCTCTCTCTCTCTCTCTCTTTCTCTCTCAAGTGTGACAAAGCCTCACCGAAGATAGTTAAGAACACAATGACTAAATGGTGGTTAGCTAGGGCTTTGATTTATGGGTATTTGATTGCAAAGATATTCAAATTTGAATTAAACCTGCTGTTCAATTCTTCGAGCTAAGAATCCATTGTAAACGTGAAAATATCAACCCGAAACTGATGATCAATGGTACCTAGATCTCTTTGATAATGACAACGGCCTCAATCAATCTTATACCTGCTCCCCCCTCTTCTTTTTTTTTTTTTAAAATCCTTCATTGTTGGAGAGTGTTTCATCTTGAATTATGCACTCTTCAGAAGGAGAAACCTAACATTTTAGCGTGATCCTTTAGTCAAAACTTATTTTACTATTGCAAGACTACCTTGATGTTTAAAACCTTAACTCCTTTCAGATTATGTTAATATGCTGTTCCTGTTGGTAATCTCTTAGAACTCTCGTGACTCCAATGCATTCAATTTTTTTTTCACTAAAAAAACATTGAGACACATATTGTGAGTTGATAAAACTTACTCTTACTGATTCTTCTAGGATAATGGATAAGCATTTGAAGTCCCTTGCGCCAAGGTATGTGGATACCAAGTTTATCAAGCTGGATGCAGAGGTGAGGTTTTATGTGCTAGTAGAAGTTCTTTACTTGGGTTGAGTCTATAACTGAATAGCAAGTGTAATATGCAAATTTGGTTTCATTCATTGGTAGAAATACACAAAAATGAGATGCGAAATGAAGTTCTTATTGTTGGAATGAAATGCAGAATGCACCTTTCTTTGTTGCCAAACTAGGAATCAAAACTTTGCCTTGTGTCATATTATTCAGGTAATTTCCATCTCTACTGCTTTTTAACTGTTCTACTTTACGTTCTTTTTATACAATTTTTGTGGGAGACGTGGTTGGGTGTCTTTTTTTTTGTTCCTTATAAACAAATACAAGAAAAGAGAAGTTGTAGTATAAGCATTCCATTTTCAAATAACCACAAACTCTGAATTCTTGTCCAGGCTTTGTCTTGGTGCTGATGTAGCTGAGTTAATGAACAAGCAAATGTGAAGATACCTAGACTATTATCCAAACACCAATTCTTTTTGAGTGTTACCGGTTATTTATGGTCAAACTCTTCACAACTTATCAATGGATATAACCCTTTTGGTACGAGTAGTTTATTGGTCTGGGCGTGGATGTTCTTATTTGGACATCTTGTTTGGGCTATTGAATTTTTGTTCTTAATTTCCTGGCGTGGATATTGGCAGGAATTGATTGACAAAACACTAATATGCAATTATATATCATTGCATATTAGTGTTTAGGTTTTGCTGGCCTTCTATCATTGCCTTTTGACTTGGGCAAGAAAAACAGAAGCCATATGTTGCTTGTGTTGGATTTGCAGAACAACATGACAAAGCAAAACCTAGCCTCTACCATCTAAACACCTACATATATGCATCCTATTTAATTGGCTGCCAGGTTAGTCATAGATAAATATGAAGGCATGGGAATCGCGCAATACAATTTCCTTTAATATCCTCGCAATCTATATGCTTCCCCATAGGCGAAACAGTAACAGTGCTGCATTGGCACTCCTATCACTGGAATCAGCACATTCATGGTCACCTTCTGAGCTGGGATTGAGTTTGGGTTGAGGTTGGCTCGGCTTGAGTTACAAAATGAGTAATCTTTACTTCTGATTGAGATAGGACATATTACTGAAAATTTTGACTCAACCCGCCTGAGTTGCAGTCCTAGATGTCTGTTGACCTCTCTATGATTTTTTCTTTAGATTCATAAAAATGTTGTTTCATGTAGCAAACTGAAAATCTCAAGAAATGCCTTTTCAGAAAAGGAATCTCAGTAGACAGGCTGGTTGGTTTTCAAGACTTGGGAGGAAAAGATGATTTCAGCTTAAAGACACTGGAGGTTCTTTTGCTGAAGAAAGGTAAGTACTTCTCCAGAATGCTTTGCTACACACAGCCAATGATAGTCTCTAAACCTTCACTTCACAGGAATTATTAGTGAAACTAAAAAAGATGATGATGAAGAGGATGATCATCATGAAAACAGACGCAGGGCAGTGAGATCATCTATAGATCCTAATTCTGATTCAGACTGAGAAGGAAGAGAAATTCCAGCAGTTGACTGGTATTGGCATTGCATGTGCACTTTCATTAATTATCATATCTATAAATCTCGGACCCATGTTCATGATCAAATTTGCAATTTTTTTCCTGAAATGAACTATTTACCCATGGTATAACTATTGATGATGGTAGTGAGTGATTCCTCTTATGTATATTTTCCCTCAGTGTCATTCATCATGAATTGGTTGGGTGGTCCATTTATATAATATGGTGGGTCTCACAAGAATTCATAATAAAAAGTGTATGAAGAGAATCCAAATCCAAGGTAAATAGAGCTTCAGGCATGAAAGAATTTTTTTGGATTTGCTAGCTCTTTAAGCAGCTTAGGCTTATGGTATTTCCAAAGGACAACTTGAAAGTCTATCAGGAGGTACATACTGTAGAGGCATATTATCTTTGGGTTATACCTGTCTGTTATCCCACCTATGTAATCGGTCAGATTACATTCTGCTTGAACCCTAGCGCAGCTGCTCAATCTTATTTCCTAGAATTGGTTGCTTGATATAAGCCAAAGCCAAGTGAATTCAACGATAAGCATACAAGGCCTTGCCCATTTTGCAAGTTCCACAATCCTCAATCCTTCGTTGTATGTCAATTATTTCTAGGTACTACGTTTAACGTCGAAGTAAGAAGCACCCAAGTCAACGGGCCTTGGTCCTGCTTCATATATAACACAGGCTTTTAGGGTGGCAGCATGAAGGAGTGGGGTCCATTTAATACTGGGAGTCCATCAAGCTGGCAATGGTCCCTCAAATTTGACAATAGTATAAAAATAACATTAATGTTATTGAGACATAATTTGAGGGTTATTTTAGATCTGGCCCAATAGAAAGGCTGTGGACTATTCTTTGCTCTGATGGTTGGCCTGACCTGACCCGACCTACCTATTACAACAAAGGACTCATCGATCTGGCCACAGATAGAGACACAAGCCATTAGGTATGAACTCTTAATTCTTATCTCAAACAAAGAGAGAGCCTATTTTAGTGATTTTGCAGCGAAATATTATTCCTCTTATCACGCAGGCAGTAAGTTAGGGACGAGACATCTACTTTATTGCTATTCAAATAGAGCATACACAGAATTCATGTGATATCCAAAGAGGTCTAGATTGCGCACTTGTAAATTGTAATACACGAACAAGTGAGAATGGTCGAATACATAATCCACTGGTATAAGCGAACAACGGTGCCGCCAATTCAGAATAATTCTACTGCAACATTGTGTATGAAAGCCAGGACCTATTCTACGTAACAAATTGCATGCACCCAAACCCAGCGTAAGAGTTTTCAGTTTGTCCTCTTCTACGTTCAGATGCATTTGTACTCCAAAAAGACCATGAAGAGCTGGTGTGTACGTACCGGAACATGGTGTGTTTGTACCGGAACATGGTGTGTTTGGTAAGGTGAATGAAAAAAATGAAAGAATAGTGATGGTGTAAAAAATTAAGCCTGAAGGTGGAAGAGTTGATGAGTTCTAAGTGACGTATGCAGAATGTGTGACAAAAAAAGTCAAAAAAAAAAAAAAATGTTCAAGAAAGTCATTGATTTGTCTAATTGAAAAGTTAGATTAGTCTATTGTAATGAAAATTTTTGCTTCTTGACTGGGTATTGCTTGGAAAAGAAGAAGAATATAAGAGGTTTTTTTTCTTGTTTGAGACAACATATTGGACTATCTTTTGTATAGTGATCATTGTTAGTTAAAATAGAATTATTAGAGAATATTTGACAATTGGAGGTCTTTTAAAGTGACCTTCTAGAAGAGATGATGCGGTCTTCTAACGGTGGTAACTATTTGTCCAATGTGAAATTTTATGGCGAAAGTCTTTTCTACCCCTTCTAGTAGGTTCCGTGCTGTTTGTTGTCTTCTGAAACTGACCTAGCCTGACTTGTCCTAACCGTCTCGGCATATCTTGACTTGTTCTAGTACGAGTTGTATATACATATTTTTTTGGTATTATCATATAAAAAGTAAAAATAAAAAGTAAGAATGATACATTTTTATTCAAATGAATTATTCATTTTCTTCTTTGGATTTAATATGATAGATAGAAAGTTGTAAGTATTTTTTTTTTGTTTGATAAGATGAAAAATTAGGAGGATACCATTGCATCTATATATAAAATTAAGGGTTAATAGCATTTTTTATTCTTAAAATATTTTTTTTTTGTCATTGTATTAATTTTGTCGATTTAGTGTCTAAAATATTCAATTTGTGTCACTTCGATCCCTATATAAATAGATTGTTAAATTTTTGATGAAATAATCACGTGTTAGACACGTAATACCTATTTCCACCCTATTAATTATTAAGTTCACCCTATGTATATCTATTAAATTAAACTATTAAATATATGTCAAAGAAAACAGAAACAAAAATTATAATTGAAGTGAAATTTTAATGTTCCGAACTGATTTATATTATTTCGAAGTGTTTTGAGACATTTTGATAAATTTTTACCAATATCTTTAGAATATTTTGATGTGTTTTAAAATATTTTGACATAATTTGACTAACATTTTAAAAATAATTATTAATTTTTATTTTGTATCAAAATAATACATTGAAACTAAATTTTGATCATTGCATAGATAATAGGTTGAAATAAAATTGAATGAATTTAATTACCGAACATAAATAGTGTAAGTTTAGTAATTAATAGGGTGAGTATAGATGAGGTGAATTTAGTAGTTCAAAGTAAGATATGATTAAATAGAGTGAAAAATAAGATTTAAGGGACAAGAGTAATCGCACCAAATAATGTTTATTTAGGAAGAAGATTTTCCCTCCCATTTGTTCGAAGACAAACGATGCTGTTATTCTGTGATTGGGAGTTGTTCTAATTGGGCCGGACCAACTTTTAGGCTGCCCAAGATTACTTTCTTAAAGCAATGCTACTCGTTCTCAGCTCACTTCTATTTACGTCACCACAGGTCCATCAGGGGACCGTTTGGGTCTGGGGACAGCCCTAATCCATATAATACTTCTTAACCTTGGGCTGTTCGTTCTGTATATTATGTTGGGCCTGGGCTGGAACGTTAGACCCTGACCGGAACTCTGGGTTGAGGATGAGAAGATCGAACTGTCAATGAGTCATGCACGGTCTTGTTTGAGTCGTGTTTGGTCAATATTATAGTATCAAAATTTAGTCAATTCATATTTGACTTGTCTACATTCATTTGTAGCCGAAGGAGTAACGACCCTGTACGTTGCATGAAATTCATATCTCATCGTCTTTCGTTACCGCACTTACTCTTCCTTCTACTACCCCCACCATTTTAAGGAGTAAACAAATTACACTATTAATTATAAACCTTGGGGGGATAGAAAGTAACTTTATTAAAAAAAAATTAAATGAGAAGTTATTAGTTATTGGAAGGGGAATTAAGTGATACGATGAAATGTAATTAAATTGAATGCATTAAAATAAATCAAAATTTTAAAAAATTGAGAGAATAGAGAGAGAAAACCTCCTCTCTTCCAACTAATTTGTTTGCTATATAATATAATATAGATTTGTGTTATATATATAGTGAGTTCGCATCGTGGGCAAATTTATATCAATTCATTTATTTAACGAGTTCATTTGTTTTTCACCCGAATTCACTAATCTTTAACTCAAACATTTAATTTCATATTGATTTTATATCATGTCTAAAATTGACAAGTTCATCAAGAGAACAATCGAAAACCCAGCCTAATTTAAAGGTTACATGATTTTGTTGCTTGAAAATTCGTCAGCGTCTGTTTGATTAGCAAGAAATAGATGATGGAAAGTGAAAGAGATAAAAAGTGAAGTGAAAGAAAACAAAGTGAAAGAAAATATATTTTCGTGTATGTATTTGGTTAGTATGAAAAACTTTTAAGAAAATTTTAAAACAATTTTATTTCATCGTTTAAAAGAAAAGAAAGTCAAAAGAAATTTTTTCTAATTATCTAAATTATCCTTAATTATTTTAACTCCGTCTAAAAAAGAAAAAAAATATTTTCTATTATTCAAATTTTTAAAAAATTGGCTCCTTACCTAATCCATGGACAAAAATTGACTCAAACCTTGATCTCTAGATCAAATTATATGGTTAACCTAATTTGTACAAATTTTTTTAAATTAGTAACTAATTGAATATTTTAAGAAAAATAAGGGTAAAATGGGAAGTAAGGTTATTAAACACAACTTTTTTACTTTTTCTTGTGTTTTTTGCAAAAAAAAAAATTAGTGAGATGTGAGAAAATTTAAGTATGAAAGAAAATTATTTTTTTTTAATTTTATATTTCATGCTAAATTAATACATGTAAAATTTTAAAAAATTTTCTTTCTTGTATTATTTAACATTATCTTACTAAACACAAAAAACCCCAAAGAAAGCTCAAACTCACGTTAGCTGTTGAAGGCTGACCAAGATTGAATTATTTCAACCTCCAAATTTGATTGATTTAATTAAGATTTGAATCTTTCAAACACAAAACTTACATGAGCTAAACTTCATTTAGAAACTCGAGGCCATGCTTGGGTTAGAATAGCTCAAACCCTAGGTTGGGTTAAGTTAAATCTAGGTTGACCCTGCCAATTCTTCTGTAGTGCCCAGGCTCTAATTCCTTAAAGTCACACAAATTACACCCGCCGCCTTAGAATTCTTTTTTTTTTCGGTGGTTAGAATGATCGGGTCAATTATGTGTATCTTTTTTTTCGATCTTGTCAAAAACATATAATTCACGTTAGGACTAAGATATTCATGTGAGATAAATTTTTTATAACGTGATTTCTTGAGTTACAAAAATTCAAACTCAAAACGTCTGAATTTACAATTCGTCCATGTTACGACGTGAACTACTCCACTCAAAAAATATAGGAAATTAAGTTACAAGTTTACACCTTAGTCCATTGAATTGATTTGCATTCAAACAATTTTAAAAAGAAAAGAAAAGAAAAAATAAAGAAGAAATCACATTATAATTAGTACATCAAAAAATCCAGTGTCATACCATTACCTAGATCACATGTTGCTTCATGGCCACTAAGGGGGAAACAGAAAAGGAAAAAACACCACCAGGCGAATAACACAACCTTTCTTTTTTTTTTTAGCTATTTTAAAAAAAAGGGTTGGGAGAAAAGGAGAGCATCCAAAAGCCACTCCGATAATGTTTCACTGGTGAGATCATGAGACTCGTAATCGCATCTGTTACTCCTCTTGAAAACGAAATAATACAACCTATTTGAGCGAAATTTTTTTACGAAATGACTAAACTGTGACATTTTTCACAAATATTCATTCTTACAGCTTATACTTGGTGAGTAAGTGAGAGAGAAAACTCCATAACCTGGAAACAGAAATTCGTTAGCTGTATGTGCCCTTGTTCTCCAAGAATTCCATTAATAATGTTCAGTATTCCCTCCATTTTCAGCATCATTTCCCTTATTCAAGTGCCTCTATGGGAATTTATTTAACAGTGGTCAGATAGATATCCCTCCATTGTAGGTAGAGATGTGTGAAGAGATAAGGGTACAAGGCACAGCCCTCTACTTCTGAGACCATTCATCTGCTGCTCTTCCTGCTTTCTCTCATCCATTCTTGAATTCTGTCAATACAACACCCAGATATATAAATTGTAAGATCCGAATGTCTTTTATACCAAACCTCATTATTTCTGTCACTTTTATTTTGCTCTATTGTGATGACTTGCTTAACTGAAAAGTTTACGTATCTCTTTGCAACGTTTTTTAGGTCATTTTTTGCCAAAAAATTATATTCGTTCTAAGGGTAAAAGTATAATATTAGATTGGCACTATATATACAATTTATCGTATGTGCAAAAGTAATCTTGATCACTAGGATAAACTGCCCACCCCTTTCTTCTTCTTCCCTTTCCTCATCTTCCTATCTTTTTCTCTTCTTTTCTCTCTTGAGTAATGTTATTTATACTTAAAAATCTGTTCTAATCTACTGACTTAATGATGTGATTATTTTGTAATTGTTGAATTAATACCAAATTTTAATATTTAAATTAAATTAATAAATTAGGTCAGAAAACACAGATACGCACCCTATTAAATTAGGTCCAAATTTCATTGCTCTTCTCTTTCAACATACAAACACAAACACACCCTATTAAATTTAGAATAGTTTGCAAAAATGGTGGGAGTGCTTGCACTAACTGATTTTTCGATAATTTAAAGTTGGAGTAGTAAACGAAAATAGTGAGAGTAACTACCTATGAGCTCCTATAAAAAAAATTAATTGGAGTAAACACTTTTTTTTTCATTAAATAATCTCGATATGTAAGTTAAGTAAATGAGAGGGAAAACCTTTCCATGTCCTTACTCTTTACTTTAATTTGTTTGCAATAAGATAACAGCAATGTTAGACCAAAATTTTAGATCAAATTTGGAGTTCAAATGACATGACATCATATTATTTAGAGTTTTTATTGGGGTCCAAATGACATGACACCAAATAAAAAAACTTAAATTACCTGTCATGTCATTTGAACTTAAAATTTGACCAATATAGAATTACGCAGAGATAAATAACAAATTTCTAGTCAAGACCTACGATTAGGGTCCACCTTATTACCCAAAGGTTAGGAGTGACGAAGTTATTTTGATAAGTGTAAGAATTCTACTATTCTGTACGGAATTTAAAAGTCTATTGATGTGTTAGATAAGTCACAATATTATTATATTAATAAATTAAGTGATTTTTTAAACCACAATAACATTACTCGTAATCATAAAAAGATAGTTTGAATTATCTTACCCGTTGCATAGTTAATCTACGAGGCTTGCTTCCGGATGATTCCATACAAGGCACACTCAATGTCTGCATGAATGATGAGCGAAATATGAGTTTCCACTAAGAACAAGCACGTCAAGATTAGAACGATATTTTATCGTTAAATTTTTTTAATGCATAGTTACTTTCGGTTAATAGAAATCAATCTTACTTATTGCAAAAACAAAGATAAATTAAAAAGAAGCTGGGATAGGGAGATATTGCCTGAATTTGATCTTGGAGGAACTTGATGTACCCAATAGCTTCTGTTAATACTGAAGCTGTATCAGTCTGCATGTTCCCACCATCAGAAAAACAAAAACAGAATAAGCATGGCGAAAGAATAAAATCTCTCTCTCTCTCTCTCGCGTTAGTGGGTTCTGATGAAGAGGTGAGTGGGTTGTAGACTTGTAGTACCTTGCCAAAAGGTGCGACCAGCTTGTGAAGAGCTGCAATCCTGTCCCCTAATTTCTCTTTTCGAACCTGGTGTCAATTCAGCTATTCCCTCATGTTTCATATACTGTATATAAAAAACATTAACTAGCAAATTAATGTTGTTCTCATTTCATTTGAAGTTATCATGATAACCTTGAGTGCTGGACATGAAGACTTTGATAAGAATCGACACTTCTTAGCTGCTTGATCAGGAAATGGCTGCTCCTTCTGGATATTATTAAGCCTCTTTGTTCTGGTAGCTTCATTCCCAGAGGCTGATGATGTCTTTAGAATCAAATGTAATCAAAGTTAAAAGTTCCACTTATTCTGGAGATGGTGCTATTAAAATTGTTATGCATGATATCACAAACAAATAATAAAGTACAGCAACACATAACACACAAGATATGTGGTTTTTCACAAAAGCATATGTTCACAACTTCACATGCAAAGTGCATTGATGTAAGTATACTGTGAACGAGAAAGATTACATATAGTTCTCTGAGATGATGCAACGAAAGTGAAAAAACAATTATATATTCTAATTATGTGCCCCGAATTTATATTATATTGCACTCCAAAAAATGCTAGTTTTCTGTTTGGATCAATTCTCCACGGATCAGAATTTCAACATGGAGTTCAATTTCAGAAGCAAAAAACTTGCTCGAGTTGTGGTTATTATCCTGTAAAATATATCTAAAAATGCTTCTAAGATTTGAAACATGGAGCATTATCTGATAAACCATATTTTAATGAAACTATCAAACTCGTTATGATGGTGATGATGATGATGCTGATGGTGCCATGGTGGTGGTGGTGATAATAGAACCTTTTTTTTTTTTTTTGGCAGAAGAAAATCTACTGCAAAGAAGAAGAATACTCACTTGCTTCGGGATGCTTGATTGATCTTGCATGTGATCATTGCTTAAAAAGATGCTTTCTTCCAAAGACTCGTCACAACCTCCACCGCGATTTGTATTGCTTATAAGACCCGTAGATAAGTTCAAGCCAAAAGAATTTGAAACCAGTGAAGATAATTGCAAGTTGGGAATACTTGTTCTTGGAACATGGTTTAAATTATAATATGAAGCTGGGGCTGCACATTGAAACCTATCATAAGTTTGAGTATTCGGGTACAACAACTCTATAGCTGCAAGCTGCTCTGATCTGCTAGTTTGGCCACTGGTGGGGAAGGAACTGAGACAAAGCTTCTGATCATGTTGGTTGTAACTTGTGTTAGAGAGGTAGTAATACATTTCACTCAGTTTGGGAAAACTATCTGAAATCTCCTCCTCCTCCTCCTCCATGTTTCCGACTTGATTAGCATTCTTGGGTGACAACTCCATTGATTTCGGGATGATTTCGTCGATGTACCTGTTATATTCCTCTATATTACTGCATGTTCATCATAAACAGAAGAAGGAATTAATAAACTATAAAGGCCTAGTTAAATCTATCTAAAGCTTAAGATGAAAGACAGTGTTATATATCATAATCATATATAGTAAGCAATTCAGATTCAGAGTAGAAACAATTTTCTCATCTTTTTCTTTCTTCCTATTCTATTCAAGGATCAAGAAGATATGTTTTAAAAGCAACTTGAAATTAATTAAGATCTCATCAATCCATGAACGGATCATATATCGCGTCAAAACGACTTATTTTAGAGGAAGAATATAACAAAGTAATTACTCATTTCATCCTCCTATTTTTTTGGAAATTAATGGATTAAGAAAAGAGCAGTGGAGATTCCTTACTTCTTGATCAGTAAAAATTGGCTTCATTGTTTTGGTGAACCCATCACCATATAAACTTACGTGGATACAATTTCGAATTTTTCATACTTTCCACATCTAGTAATTGGGAAAAATAGACAGAATAATTTGTACTTACAACATAATACTCGGCCTCCAAATGGAAGATGGATAGTCCAGATGAAGATTGAGTAGCTGAAGTACATCCTACAATAGTTTGCTGGAGCTGTTGATAATGATAAAGGTTTGAAGACTCCATGACAATTTTTTTTTTCACTACTTAACTCCTTAGAAAATCCCTAGACAGGTAACCATTGTTCTTCCTACCCTAGGAGTCTTTTAGACATATATACTCTTACTTCAAGCCTCAGTTGAAAAGCTCATCACTGTCTACAGAAGCAACAGATGGAGTCTTTTAGACATATATACTCTTATCCTAGGAGTCTTTTAGACATATATACTCATATTCATAACCCCCCCCCCCCTTCTCCCTCCTATTGACCTTTAAACACCATTCTTGTCTTCCTTCTCGTTCATTTTTCTGTGGAAATTGAAAGTTGTGTTGGGTTTTTTTATTTTTTTGTAGAACCTAGTTTTTATGTCGATACGGATGGTGACCCGATCTGAAAATGTTGCGTAATTTTTAATGAAAAATTTTCTGAGACTTAGTCCATGGAGTGAATCGGCCCAAGCCGTAGCGTTTATGGACAAGCCTCGTGTTGCCCCTGAAGAAAATTTTTGGACCTGTTTGTTTCTAATCCGGTGCAAGACATATAAAATTTGTTTTTTTTGAGTGATTAGGGTTTGATTGACTCTGTACGGATGCCGCTCTCTTTATAATCGTTCTTGAGAATAGTGAAACTCTTGCAGCTTCGTAGACGTAGGTAAATTGTCGAATCACGTAAATATTGTCTTGTGCGTGTAATTATTTTTTTTTTATGTGTGTTTTCTCTATTATTTTTTTTCACAAATTTAAAAATTTCGTGTAAATTTCCGGACAAATTATTCTGCTGTCTGTCTGTGACCGTGGTTTGAAGGAATAACCGAAATGACTGAAGAAAGAAATCATGGCGGCTATGCTCTTTTTTTCCCACATGTTGGCATGTTATCACTTGGCATATTGTCGATATGCATCATTCAGGATAGTGGACTGAATTTTTTTTTGAACAAACACTGAACATGAAAAGGATGTCTCGAGTTTGTGCTCTGTACCATACCATGATACCTCATCTTGAATGGTAGTCTGGTCCATGTACTTCAAACCAGTTTATGATGAGCTGAGAAGTTGTAGTTGGACAGCACTATTGCATGATCTTACAATGGCATGATGTAATATGATGTCCTCACCCACCGTAACGTAAGATAAGGGTATTTGGAAGACCAAAAAAATTTTAATTTAAAAAAATTGAAGTTTATTAAATATTAAGACACATAACTAATTTAATAACTACAATAAATTTAAATTAAGTTTAAATAATAATATTTTTCTTTAAATCCAGGAAAATGTGACAAAATTGTGCGATAGTTAAATAGTTTTTTGATGTAGTAATCCTAACAAAATCCTTCTAATTTTTTTTTTATAACGTTAGATCATTCATTTTATAATAGTGAGTGATCCACTATTGTAGAGGGATGCATTCGAATTTTTCTATCCCATGTGAAATTCTCACGCATACATTACTCAACAATTTTTCTTATATTATAATGATCGTACGGCACCAAACAAGAAATAAAACAAAAATATCATGTTTTCATGCCGTGCCTAAACGACGAGTCCATTTTTATAAATTTGTTTAACTGACAATTACTCTATTTTATTGATGCGACCCTACTATTAATCCAACAGCAACAGCGAATTAAGGATTATACGAGAGGTTTTCTCCAATATGATGTGTTTTTACGTATTTGCTCTTATGCACAGGCTAGTTTGTGTTGCATTATTATCTTATCATTGCGAAAAAAAAAAAAAAAACTTTTTTTGGGTTTGAGTAGAAAACGGTAGCATCATATAGTTATTTATTTATTTATTTATTTTTCTGATAATTGTGACGGTGCAATGCTAAATTTAAAAAAAAAAAAAGGGTCATAAAATTCTAATCAGCCCCACCAAAAAGTAAACCGTCAGAGGAAAAGGTAAGGGAATAATGAGATTATGGGCCAAGTTTGTCCTCTATCTTTCGGCCTTAACCAGCTGCCATGCCATTGGCGAACCCCATTCTTCACTCTCGCTTTCTAACTCCTTTTTTTTAACATCAAACAAATATTATCACATTTCATACTAACTTTACAAAGCTTAAGTTTCTCACTATTATCATATTTCTGAACAAGCCCAAATACTTTGAACTGAAAATCAAGCTTTTAGGAAGAAAAAAACCTTATCTTCTTGCTTTTACAATTGTGTTTACAAATTCTGTAACACGTTAACAATTGTAAAATAACTATTTATTTATCTCGAGATCGGGATTCCAAATATGGCATTTGTATTTTCTTAGCCAAAATATAATTTGAAAATGTGAGTGAAGATTCCTTGTCTTTCTAATCCCACTCGCAACCATAGGCATCAATTGGAATCCTAGTTGGATGCATTATGGTTCGAGGTCAATTTAATATGTAATGCATTTGCAATCATATGACCCGACCCGTTGAATGACTATTTTAGTTGTTTTTTAGGAATCATTTGTTGAAGATTTTTAAAGTACTTTTTATTTTGTATTTATTTTTTCAGTTTTAAAGTATGTTTTTTAAGTATTTTTTTACTTTTTGTTTGCTTCTTCTTTTGCAGGATTTGCTCTCTTCCTCTAACTTTAATCATATGTATATACAGTATAGAAGTGTTATTCATATAGTAAAATGCATCTAGAAATGAAATATCAATTAAGCATGCTTTTATTTTTCCTTTACTTTTAAGTTAAAAAGCCATTTTTAAAAAAATTACCAAATGATAAACTAATCTTTCTCATATTCGCTTAGATAGAGCACAATTAGAGTAAGGGATACTTATTTTCTTCTTTGTTTTTTAGTTTGACAGTCAAAAATGTTCAGACTAACTTATGCGTATTTCGACAAATTTTCTTTTTAATTCGGTCAAAAAATAAGTCATTCACGTCGAAACTAAAATCTTCATGATGGATAAATTTTTTATAACCCGACCCCAATAACTAATTCCCTCCCCAATTCTATCATCAATTTTAAATTGAATAATTTACCACTATTGATTGAAAAGTGGAGATGGATATATAAAAGCTGGTATAAAGTTACAGTGTACAAGAAGATGTTTGAGAAGAAGACAAGGGACTCGAGCACGAGTCTCTGTGCTTACCCTTTTGCTAGAAGGCAGAGGGAGAAAATTCAGCAATGGGGACCAATTCTTGTTTTTCTTTATATGCCCAAACCTAGATAGGTCGGGTCAAGGTTAATATTGGAGCTGAGAATCCTTAGAAATAGCTTAGCAGTTCGATCTGATCTTTATGATCTTAAGTTCAATTTTTTTTTACACTTACTAAGGGTTAGTTACTTTGTCCTTTTAAAGACATATTTTAACTCAACTCAAGTCACAATGGTCAATCGTTGAGTTCAAGAGAATAGTCGGTACAAATCTAAACACTTTGTAATAAAATAAAAAATAAAAAAAATTTCGGAGCTAGACAATTCTATACTTATCAAATTCTTTGCAATTCCGTTTATTAAATTAGTATATATTGTTAAATCAATCCGTCTTATTAATTTTTTTAATGGAATTAATTGATCGAATCACCCATTTTTATTTGGTTGCTAAAAAAATTGATAAGAATTCTCATACATGCAGTCCCATACTTCTAGATGCACCACGAGACAAAAATTCAGATATAAGAGTATTTTCAACGTTGACTTAAATTTAGACTCAAATTTAAGTCTAAATAATCTAAAAACCTTCTTCAATTTTGAATTCAAATTTATACCAAATTAAGAATAAACTTAATAAACTTCTTCTGCACCCAAATTGAGAAAAACTCAAATTTTATATTAAATTCCAACCGTAACTTTTTATCCTATCTAAAGTTAAAAGAGTTCTTCAACAACTTATTTTTTTTTGCCTCTTCTTGTCTCTCTTTTCTACTTTATTTCCATTGCCAATCATCACCGAAACTTTCACAGTCATTTGAAGGCTTGTAGGTAAATCTCTTCCTTTTCATCGTCTATCTTTTTATTTTCTTGTATTTTTTAATACTCTAATCTCATTCATCTTTTATATTATATAAATCTTAAAATTACCCATCAATCATCCATTTTTGTTAAAAATGATCCATTTTTGGTGTTCTTCAAACTAGACTCATATTAAAGTACTTTTTTTTTTATCTGAATTTATAAAAAATGATAAATAATTAGAACAATATGAAAATTCTAGAGTGGTTTTGTTAATTTTTTTTCATTTATTTTTATTTTTAGGTAGTGTTGTATCCATATTCAATTTTTTTTTAAAACTATTCATTTATGGATAGATATGAAAGTTTCATTTATTTTATTAAATATCATGATTTGAATGACACTAAAAAAATGAGTTTTGGGACAGTAAGAAATGTTTTTAAAAAAATTTAATTAAATGTTTGAGTTTGTCAATTGGAGGATTTTATACCAAATCAAGTTTTTTACTCAAATTTGAGTTTAAATTTGAGTCCNTGACGGTGCAATGCTAAATTTAAAAAAAAAAAAAGGGTCATAAAATTCTAATCAGCCCCACCAAAAAGTAAACCGTCAGAGGAAAAGGTAAGGGAATAATGAGATTATGGGCCAAGTTTGTCCTCTATCTTTCGGCCTTAACCAGCTGCCATGCCATTGGCGAACCCCATTCTTCACTCTCGCTTTCTAACTCCTTTTTTTTAACATCAAACAAATATTATCACATTTCATACTAACTTTACAAAGCTTAAGTTTCTCACTATTATCATATTTCTGAACAAGCCCAAATACTTTGAACTGAAAATCAAGCTTTTAGGAAGAAAAAAACCTTATCTTCTTGCTTTTACAATTGTGTTTACAAATTCTGTAACACGTTAACAATTGTAAAATAACTATTTATTTATCTCGAGATCGGGATTCCAAATATGGCATTTGTATTTTCTTAGCCAAAATATAATTTGAAAATGTGAGTGAAGATTCCTTGTCTTTCTAATCCCACTCGCAACCATAGGCATCAATTGGAATCCTAGTTGGATGCATTATGGTTCGAGGCCAATTTAATATGTAATGCATTTGCAATCATATGACCCGACCCGTTGAATGACTATTTTAGTTGTTTTTTAGGAATCATTTGTTGAAGATTTTTAAAGTACTTTTTATTTTGTATTTATTTTTTCAGTTTTAAAG